GGCCATGGCTCACGGGCCCGGCTGCTCCGCGGCATGTGGGATCCTCCCGGACCGGGGCACGAATCCGTATCCCCTGCATCGGCAGGCGGACTCTCAACTGCTGCGCCACCAGGGAAGCCCTAGAGTATATTCAACATTGATAAAAATAAATCAGGGAACTCACGGACAACATGTAGAAGAATTATGGTTTTGGTTTTTCCTTCCCCAGTCTGACCATCTCTACCTTTTAATTGGAGAGTTTAAATTATTTACATTTAACACTACTACTGATGAGGTAAAACTTACTTCTGCTCTTAGGTATTTAATTTCTTTATGTCTTTTGTATTTTGTTCCTCAATTTCTCCATTACTGCCTTTTTAAAAATTTGGTTGATTTTTTTAGTACTATTTCAATTCCCTTCTTTCCTTTTCTGTGTATTTTTTAGTCATTTTCTTAGTGGTTACCATGGAGATTACAATTACCATCTTAAACTGATAAAAATCTAGTTTTTATAATTCTGACATTTCAATGGAATCCAAACACTGTGCTCCTATACATCTCCATCTCTCCTCCTATATATTGTCGTCAGAGATCACATCTTTGTACACTGTGCACCCATTAACAGGGATATTCTGGAGATGTGTATGGGTGTCAAGTTGACAAGGGGTGGGCTTGTGATGGTTAATTTGATGTGTCAACTTATTTAGGTCACGGTACCCAGATAATTGGTCAAATACTTTCTAATGTTTCTGTGAAGGTAGTTTTTTTTTTTTTTTTACATCTTTACTGGAGTATAATTGGTTTATAATGGTGTGTTAGTTTCTGCTTTATAACAAAGTGAATCAGTTATACACATATATACGTTCCCATATCTCTTCCCTCTAGATAACATTTAAATCAGTAGACTTTGAGTGAAGCATATTACCCTCCTTAATGTGGGTGAGCTTCATCCAATCTGTTGAAAGTCTTAATAGAAAAAGATTCACCTTTCTGGAGAAAGAGGGAATTCTGCCAGTAGACTGCCTTCAGAATCAAACTGCAACTCTTCCCTGGCTGCCTACTCTTTTTCTTTCTATACACACACGAGCACACACACACACACACACACACACACACACACACACACACACACACTTCGTTTCTCTCTATTGGTTCTATTTCTCTGGAAAACAAATAGAAAAATTTTAAAGATTTAAAATCTTTTTGACCATACTCAATCTTCAAATAAAGGCAATAACAAGGTCATAGTTCTAACATGATCCAACACTGCTGCATACATCTGAAAACACACCTATATTTTCTTTTATGATATAAAGTCAATATATCTTATATGATAAGGGGATAAGAGAGGGAAGAAAGCAAAGACATTTGCTTAACATATATAAATACAAGAGCACAAGCATAACATAGTAAAGAAGACATTTATAACAATTACAACCCTTGTTTCCATAACTGGTCATGCAGTCATAGCTGGTATTTAAACCATCTTCTACTACCCATTCCATTTTCCCTGCCCTCAGCAAGCATCTTAGCCGATCATGGCTCTGTGCATATTAGAGTGAGACAAGCCTTCATTCCTGAGGGGTCTAAGCCATTAGTCCTGCCTGAATCCTACTTTGACTCTGCTGTCCATTTAATAACCACACCCACCTTACGTTTGGACATTGAGTGCCACAACTTGGCCCCTGCCACCTTGGGATCCAATTACCCTCATTACATTTAGATTTCCAAGTTCAGTAGCCGCAGTTCCCACAGTACTTTCTGGTCTACAGAGAAGAGTAATCACAGAGCTCTTCAAGGATGCTAGGGATCCTTCACAAATTTATTTCCCAGAGTACTAGTGAAAGATGTGTCCTCTGGACCATCCCAGAGTGTGTGAGCAGGTCTTAAATGTCAAACCCACTCTAACATTCCAACCTCTTTGAGTCTTTCCCTTCCTCTGTAGTATACCAAGGCAGGTCTGGCATATCAACTTCATTTACTGTGAGCTACTTTTTAGTCAATGTTTCAGCCAGCCAACAAACTGAAGAAATTAGAGCCCTTTGTAACTCCCAAATTGCAACATTAGTTGACCCATATCAATAAATGTGGCCTAATCCAACTTTATGTTCTTTCTACCATTATTTCACAACCTTAATATCCATCCCACACATATTCCCGAGATTCTGTTTAAATTGGAAAAATCAAGCAGCTCTTTTGGTGTGTACTGAACAATCTGTATTGTGATTCAGCCACTAGATACTGGGTTTGGTTTTCAGCGCACTCACCTCTGCAGCTACAGGAAATAAGTGTCTCTTTCAGGGCAGACATAGAAGCTCTCATGTCATTTATGCAGTGCTTAAGCTGGGAATTAAAATCCTTGAGCTTATTGTTTTCTACCCCCATTGTGTCCAGAAAAATTAAAAGCAGGCAGCCAATCTCATTTTGTTCATTAGTTTTATAACAATGTTCAAAGGAATCAGCAACAAAAACAAAAAAAAGACAAATGGAACTACATAAAACTCTAAAACTGTGCATCATAGGGAACAATCAACAGAGTGAAAAGACAGCCTACTGAATGGGAGAAAATATTTGCAAGTTGTATATCTGATAAGGGGTTAATATCCAGGGTATATAAGGAAATTTTACCACTCAACAACACAACAAAGATAACCTAATTTAAAAATGGGCAAAGTTCTTGGATAGACAATTCTCCAAAGAAGGCAAAAAAAAAAATGGTTAATGAACATATGAAAAGATGCTCAACTTCACTAATCATAAGAGAAATGCAAATCAAAACCACAATGAGATATCACTTTACATCCATTAGGATGGCCACTATCAAAAGAACAGAAAATGACAAGTGTTGGTGAGGATGTGGAAGGACTGGAGTCCTTGTGCACCATTGGTAGGAATATAAAATGATGCAGTCATTATGGAAAACAGTATGAAGACTCCTAAAGAAAGATTAAAATAGAATCACCATATGATCCACCAATTCCACTTCTGGGAATATAACCAAAAGAATTGAAAGCAGGATCTCAAACAGATATTTGCATACTCCTTCATATATGAGCTGCATTATTCACAATAGCCAAGAGGTGAGAGCAACCCAAATGTTCACCAACAGTTGAATGGATAAAGAAAATGTGTTATATACACACAATCGAATATCATGCAGCCTTGGAAAGGAGGGAAATCCTGTCACATGCTACAACAAATAGCCAGTCACAAAAGGACAAATACTGTACGGTTACACTCACAGAAAGTATTTAAAGTACTCAAAATCATAGAAACAGAAAGTAGGAAGACGATTGCCAAGGGCTGGGGAGAGTGGGGCGGGGAATTAGTCCTGACAGATACAGAGTTTCTATTTTGTAAGATGAAAGTTCTAGAGATCTGTTGCACAACATACACGGTGAATATACTTAACACTACTGAAATGTACAATTAAAAATGGTGAAGATGGTAAATTGAAAGCTGTATATTTTTACCACAATTTTTAAAAGAAGTTCCAAAAGTTATTAAAATAGTAAAATAAAATATACCTTTAAAATAAAAAGGTATA